ATCGCGGAACATGAGCAATTAATTAAATCATCTCTTTTTGGAGCGAAAGTTATGGGAACTCTAAAAACGGCTGTAACTTGTTTAAAAATTTCGAAAAATCATTACGTACGTTGATATATTTCTAGCATTACCAGATAAAGGAAGTATGTGAATTAAAACGATATAATAACATCTTTACATTTTTCGGAACGCAATAATTGCTCAAGAGAAAATTCTTTGATTGTTATCGTTCACTTTACGAAATTATAAAAAGCAGAGTAATCAATTTGCATTAAGGATTTATACGAAACTCTTTCATTTTGGTCTGTGTCCGCACTGGTACTATCTTCAAATTTGTATAATTCTTCAGTTTGTCAGGACAACGACGCTACAAAAATATTTGCCAGCGATTTGTAACTAACCCAATTCTCAACAAGATCCGCCGTAAAATTTCGATTAAGGTTTAAACCGAGGAGCAAACGGAGCGCAGAAATTTAATTTCAAGAGTAAAGGATGATCGTTAAGAAAGTGTACTATAATTGAACGGAGCTTAGAATGGGCAGCGCGATGAAATTATTCGAAACTGAAGCGTTTCACATGTGCAAGCGCGCGTCGTATCTAACTGTAAGACAGAAGGTGTTCCATAAAGTATGAGAGTACAACATATGGCAATTAAGCTGGAGCATGATAATGTATATCGAGCAAATATTTGTACGGTGACGCCTTTGCCTTCGATCCCTCAGATAGGATTTTTTCCGCCTTATCAACGTGTCGCGATTAGAGATTGGGGAAAATTAAAATTAAGGGATCATCCCCGAAGAAAGTGGATAAAACACGATTGCCATATTAAAACAGATCTTAACCAGGTTCGATTGTTTGCTTATGTTATCAATTTACCTTATCAATTCAAGGCTGCGTGTAAAATGTCATCCGCGTGTTGACGTACACGCTTCGAGCAGATCCGAATCAAGCGATTCCAGCAGGTCTGCTAAAAGGTCCGTTCGGAACAGACGTTTTACTTTTGTAATAAAATTATTTTATTATTTTTATTTTAGTTAACTTCTATATACATTGAAGTATTATAAAATAGCGTGATTTCATTTAACCTGTTAACTGTAATCTATTATTACCTTCTTCATAGCTTGTCAATGTTGCAATTCTTGGCCTCATAAATTATACATTTTTACAAACATCTACACAACAGCGAAGTGGGTAATGATATTGAAAAGTAATGGAAGCATTCTGAGGTGCACAGTAGTATCCTATGAAAATGAATGAAGTCGAAGTGGGTTTTCGCTTTTGTGTAGCAAGTGAGCTAAAGAACTTTTTCTATGCTCCCAGTTTCTGCAAATTGATCGTCTGGATGTTTCTGGATCACTGTGAAAGGTAGTATAATCCACGCAAAGAATTGGACAGCACTCGGTCCATTTTTAATGGACAGCGAAAGGTTTAAAATGTCGTTTAACGCACAGGAAAAGCGCCGTTTCATCTTTGTCCATTAGCGTTTCCGATTTAAGTACACCGTCTTTCAGTCGCGTGCCTCTTTTTTCGGACATCGGGCGCGTCTTTCACGGCGGAAAGAACTTTGTCTGAAAACCCCGACGATGGTCAGGGAACAAAGACGACACGGTGTAAAAGAGTCGAGGCGCTTAACTTTAAGCTGAAGTTAATGAGATTGAAACGCGGCGGAAATATCGTATAACGAACACAAGAAGCTTTCAGTCTTTGAATCAAAGTCCGTCTACTTTTCGAAATTAGGTAGGCTCTTAAACGGTCGATAGGGTAATATTTCGATAGAAGAGACCGGCATTTCTTGGTCTGCGCAGCTTTTCTGCTCGAAACTTTTGCGATTCGTTCGCGGTTTATGAAAGATCCGGGACGCTTATTTTTGTCATTGAATTATATTTCTATGTTCTTTCTCGATTTTTCATTCAAAACTAATTCTCATAATTATTCTTGAAATTATTTGACAAGTTACGTCGGCATTGGTCTTCGTAAAGATGAATCCAAACTAATTAGAAAATTTGTTATGGTAAAAACAAAATAGAAATGTCATTAGAATTTGTTAATATATATAATATATATATAATATATATATAATATAATGTAATATATATATATATATTATTATATTATATAATTATTATATATTATATTATATATTATATTATATAATTATATTATATATTATATTATATAATTATATATATTATTATATTATATATATATTATATATATTAACAAATTATATTTTGAAAATGTAGAAATGCTACGTATGTATGCCTAAAGATTCACGGTCTAGTGATAACCTTGAGAGAATTTAAAAATATCGTCTACTATTTTCGACATATTAAAATTTGTCTCTTGCAAATAATGCAGACCATTTTTCCATGAAAATTCACAGTCCAATAATAACAAACTTCTACAATATTTTGAATTATAATTCAGTTTTAGATGTCATTTTTTCAATAATTTCAGATGTTTAATCTGACTCCAAGAAACATTTCATTTCTTATATAAAGTTACATTATTGGATACGA